TTTGGGGTTTTTTTGGGTTGTTTTTCGATAATGGGGGGGGGGGGGGGGGGGAGGGGTGGCCTCTTTGCACGGGGCATGACTCGCCGCGTTGCTCTGCGGCCCACTCGACAATTGAGGCTCGAGTGCTGGGGCCCCTTATTTTGTTCTTGCTGGGGAGAAGAAGAGGGCGTGTGCTTGCGCTTGTTTTCGAGCACGCCTGGTTTTGCACGGGGCCCAGCCTCTCAAGATGAGCTTTTCGCTACACGGTGTTGTATCGTGTGGGTTTTGCCCGTTCACCTTCATAGATCTACCCCCGGCATTTGACCGCATATGGTTTTGGACGTTCCGGAGGTGTCGCAAGAAAGCACAACTCGAGCCCGCCCATAGTTGCGGCTATCGTTTCCCCGTAGTTTCGAGGCTTATCGGACAGTAGTCTTAATATTCTCGGCGGTGCTGGAGAGTTGTGTTGTTCGTGTATGATGTTTCGCTGTTGCGGTCTAGAGAGGGGTGCGGAAAATGGGCAACATCACGCGCGGCAGCCTCCCGCTCGCTTCGTCTATCCATGGATCGTGGTGCGCCCTGCTCTGCGTGGGATGACTGGTCTTTTATTTATTTATTTTTTTTGAGTTATTTTTATGTGTTGGCGACGGCCCGTGGCACACTCTCGCCGAGCCGGGAGCATGTACCATACGGGGGGCGAGACGAAGATATGAAAACGCAGAGCGGAGCGAGGCCTTTGCATGCACACGCTTCCGAGTACATAACAGTTAATATCTCGCCGCGGCTCTGCTGTAGTCTGTAGTATTTTTATTTTTTTACCCTCACGGTGGTGGGGCGGCGCAAGAGGAGAGTCGGCCACTACAACACCACACCACTTCCGTGGGTGAAACGACACACAAGAGAGACTGGAGATATTCAGCCAGTGGTCGTTTTTTGGGTCCCTTCTTGGAGTTTGGTTTTGGTGGCATGGCTTAGCCTACATACATGCGTTGTGCGGCGGTTTCACCTTCTCCAGCGTTAAGAACTGCATGTTTTCATTCATGGCCGCGTGCATCGCATCGCGCTCTGCTACGGCGGTCTGTTTCATAAAACGGGAGAATGTCTGTACCGTTGCTGGTGTGTATATTCGGAACGGTTTGACAACCGTTTCGTTCGTTGTGCTGCCGTGCGGGCGGCGTTGATGCGTGTCATGAGTGGGTGGACGGTTGCTTGACTTGCTCGAGAATATATTCGTTTGGCTCTGGGTTTCATGTTTACGCTTTTTGATGCTTCGTTTTTCCCCGTTGTGGGAGGGCCGGTCCGAACGATAAGAGGCACAGGCCGATGGGGGTAAGTAAGGCTTTGGTTTGATGCCGTGCATGCGGCAGGGGGGGGGGGAGTCCAGGCGAAGTGGATTTAGATAGTTGGGTAGTAGGTCCTCCCGGCTCTCCAGGAAGTAGCAGTCATGCCCGCCGCCCATCGAGCGAAGTTTACCCCGGTTCTGGCTATTTTTTTATTATTCTAGTGCCATATATTCCCTCCTGTCCACCCATCCATCTCTACCGACGTGTTGGCGGGCGAAGTCTTCCTTCGCTGCTCTTCTATGTGTGCGTGTAATTGTTTTGTTGACAGGTCCGCCGCGTTTTCGCGAGGTTGCGCCCGTGCGAAGCGTTTGTGCAGTTGGAAAAAGACCGGGTGGGATTCGAGTAGGGGCGGGTTGAACAAAAACGCGGTGCCGGCTCCGCGAGCGGCCGGGAGCGAGGGGCACGCGTAGCGATCTTTGGCTCGACTTTTACTACCTTGTGCTGTGTTGGCTCGATGGGTGTGTTTTCTTCCTTTTTTTGTTGTTCGCGGCAACAAAATATGTCTCGTGTGGTGCCCGTCCGTTTTTTATCGAAGCGAGGTAAATGTTTTAGAGGTACGGCCATTTTGGTATAGCGGCATACTACTGTAGCAGTGTCGCGTGTTCGCGCGAGAGTCGCGGTAAGTTTTGGTGAGCTCGCTACTCTGGACATCGCCCCTCCCTCCAACCCCGTTTTTTTCTTCTCTTCTCTTCTTTTTTTTTCAAGAAAAGTTGGCGCCAAAAACGGCGTCGCGAACTGGGAGTCAGTAGACAGGTAGGGTGGGGTGGTGTGTCGGCGTCGCGAGGCGGTGGGCCGACGCGAATTTGTGAAAAGAAACGGTAGATCTCTTTGCAGTGCGCATCTCGCGGGAACAAAGAGCGCTACACTATAATGAATGCTCGTCGTGTGAGCTTTTTCGAAACTACTACGTTCGATTTTGTGCGAAAGAAAGAAAAGTTGTGTAGGTACCCCGTAAGAGTGTGTGTACGCGATAAGGGTTCGGGAAGGGTGGATGGTTACTATTTCAATCGTGTTCGATCGATGGACGTTGTTCAAGACGGAGCAGGCAACGTTAAGCAGCAGCAGCAGCAGCAGCAGCAGCAGCAGTAGGTGCGGTCTGGGGAAGTCTCTGGTATTTTTTCATCGTTCACGCTCGGTTCTTCTTTTGTTTTTTGTGATGTTGGATCATGCCATCCACGGTCATTCATCATATATATGTTCTGCAAGCGAGTGGCCGTTCAATCCGTCCCACTCCCTTGTATCTACCTGCGTTCATCACGTGCGGCAGGCTAGCCATAGAGTATGTCAGCAGTTCATGTTTCGGTTTCACGATGGCCACGAAGCCGTTGTTTACGCACCGTATCACATTGTTGTATGCATATTTAGTCGGGGAAGGTGTGCCTTCGTGCTGGTACAACTGATGAGGCGCTCTTCGCTACGGCCCCTTCGTGCGCCGATCGGGCGATCGATCGTAAGAGTGTCAGTCCTCATCCAAGCGCTTTGGGTGCCTGCTGGAATGCCCTGAGTGAACACCACCGAAGTGGAGGGGGGGCACGCGTATCGTCGCCATGCGGGCCGCAAAGGCGGGCGGCAACGACCGTGTTTCAGTCAAAGATCCCCAACTTCTCTTCTTACCCCGTAGGTTTTGGAGGCGGTATTGCGTAAGATGCCGCACCCCCTGGACTACTCCACGACTAAGAGGATTTCAAAACCATAAGATAGGTTTTCAGAAAGATCTTGACGAGGAAGTTCGAACACCGCCAGTTTCGGCACCATCGCACTGCTTTTTTTGCTGCTCAGAGTCTTTCGATCTTTGATTTTGAATGCTTGTATGAATCAAGCGGGGGTGCGTACGCCCACATTGGTTTCATCAACGCCCGGCTGTACCTGTATCTTCGGCCGTTTTTTGACTGATTCCTACTGTACCTTACAACGCGAGGATTCATCAAGCCAAACATGATCTTCATCCAAGCCAAACATGATCTTCACCGCTTGCAGTCGCTTGCCTCGCCTGTTTTTTTGGCGGTGGTGTGGCGGTGGCTTGTGAGGCTTGAGGTGGTCATATCCATATCCAGAAGCCCCGTGGGTTCGAATACGGTGTACCCCGCTGCATACTGCTGTCTGCGTCACGGAACGACCACAATAATTATCGGATGACTTTCGCGTAGTGTGCCACTGCCTTCTGGCCGCTGTCGGTGACTGCTGCGTTGCTGCATTGGGCGTGGATTCTCGCTTCCGTCTGTCGCCTTACGGGGGTAAAGTAGCGCGACCGCTAGGTGAGAGGATCGAAATATGTGGGCACCGCTGCTTCTTGGGCCCCTGTTGGCGATACAGCTTCACGGCGGTACGGCAGCAACAGCAGTTGGCTGCGAAAGCGAGTACATCCATGTGGCGAGAACCACCGAGTTTAAGGCTGCCGAAGGCTGCTACCGTCGGGAGGAAGGCAGCGGGCCTAGCGGCGGCGCTGCTGTCTACGTCAAGGAGGCGGCCGACCAGGGGGCAGTCTATCAAACAACGGTCAGCAAGGTGTGTGTTGGTTGACCGACTTCGTAGTGTTTGGTGTGGTATTCTTTATCTGTAGATCGGAGTCGGCCCTCTTTGTTCTTCACGGAAGAAGTGCGTTGCGCTTCCCTCTTGCTCTGCCTCGCGCGGGCGGCGTGCGTTCTGGACCCAACAACGGTAGTCGTAAGTGGCGGATAGAGGAATTCTGGTAGTCCTTCATTGCCTTATTCACGGACTCTGCATTGATTTCCTCCCGCCTAACAGTAGGTGGTGGGCCCGATTTCCTTTTCCGCGTTGCCAGTCGGCGGGTTCATTCGCGGGAACCCTACTGGTACGACAATACATCGGCTAGCTACAACGCCGCCGCCAGCAGTGCCAATCACAGGGTAGCTTCGCAACCACATTCATCGGTGCCACTCAAGAACGACAACTGCTGCGTGCCTGAGTGTTGCCCAGGGTGTGCGGCAATGACAATCCGCCCTGTCTACAGCCTGAGCAAGCAGCAAGGACCCCAATACTACCGTTGCTACCATGCACAGAGTACCATGTGAGCAGGCGTATCATGCGCATGTATGACGTGGAAATCGTCACTCCGCGCCCACCCTCTTTCTCTCTTGCTGTGCATGGTACCACTCACCCATGGCACCAAGAGAGATCGGTGCCCAGATGTACAACGACTCAACAGAGAACAAATCATAAAGGGACAAAGGCCCGGGTAAACGTGCGTGTACAGTATAAATAATAGAAATTTATCGGAAAATTCGTTTTTCTCAGACTTTTCCCAAAAGTGAAAGGTTGTGTTTTACAACCTGTTGTTTTGTCAGAACGGTTAGAAAGATCAAGAGGTCCTGCACATGCCGGGGGGTGCCACCGCACTGCTGTTGCAGTCCGTCCGTCTTGTCTACTGCTCTTGGCGCGCAAGTCTCGGCCTCACCGCTTATTTTGGGGCTGCTTGCTCTCTGACACTCTTCGTGGACACATCTGTCGGCACTTTTTTTCTTTATTTGAAGGCTTGACTTGACGTCTTTGCAACACCTGTTCTGCTGCTGCTGGTGTACTGTATCTGCGCTTTGGCGTGAGACCCACCATGCATCATCGTATCGTACATAAAACGCGCGCCGAACTCACGGCCTCCTTACTTTCGCTGAATAGGCCGGTCAGTCTCGGCAGGCGTTTGCGTTGCTGGCCTTGCGTACGTACACCAACGCTTGCTCGATTATTTGATCAGCGTACCTAACGGCGTACACGCTGTTCTGAAACATAGGTACCTTTGTGGTATTTTGCGCTTGTATGCAAATGGCCCTTACATTTTCGAACAGAGCGTGTACGTGTGAACACCGACGAAATCAACCTCTTGCTCCCCGCTGGAACAACCAGACAACCCTACCTCTCCCCCTTTGAATACTGAAGCAGTAGGCCTATAAATCTTGCGGCCATCGTCCTAGCTCTGAGCCTACTGCTATAGTGGCACAACACCCCAATCCCCTAACCCTACTCCTGTACCCGAACCATGAACCCACTTGCTTGTTTGCCAGGCACCGCGCGGCAACTCGCATCAGTGGAGAATCGGCATACAGCGCGCATCTGAATCCTCACGGGTGCTGTGCAGCGGTTTGTCTGTCAGCGCTTCGATGGACTCGCCAACGCTTGTCAATGAGTGGGAGTGTGGCAGTTCAGGTGCGCGCGGGGGTGGTTTCGTTTTTTGGGGGGAGAAAATGAATCGTACGGAAATTCGGGGTTACAGTAGTTCCTCCAAAAGCCCGCAGCATGGACTTGACGAGCGCACATAATCATTTACTCAAAGCCAAACACCATGTGCACCTCGTTCCATGTTGCTGCGTACCACGTCCTTCTTGCGTTCACTACGAAGGTACCTCTGTCTTTTTGAGTGTTGGGAGTGCTGGGGTGTGTGCGTAAGAGTGTAGGACATTCGACCGAACGCTTGGACTCATGGTGAGGTAGGGACCCCGTACTACGATCCATGTCAGGTAAGGTTGCGTATGGCGGGCACTCCATGGTTCTTCCGTCGCCTGCAACAAGAATTTTCGGAGAGAAATCTTGGTGGCCTGCCTGCCCACTGCTGGCGTCGGCTACGGACAAGGCCTTCCATACAACTCGGTTCCCCCGCCATTCAGGATCCAAGCACGTTCAATGCCGTAGCGTGTATCGACAATAATTTGTAGCCGGCTTTTCATTTCTTGTTGTAGTGGTCTCGAACAACAACGGCGTAAACCTACCGCCCTGGTTACATCCACGGGGCCCCGGTGACACCCGAGGAGCCCCCGAATCAATCCACGAAAGGAGAATAGAGATGGTTCACCGGTAGGATGACCCCACCCCGTGAGCGAGCTTGAAACGTGGGAGTGATATACGTGCCTGATTTTTTTCTTACTTGAAACGTTTTTTTGTGTATTGTGTGTGTGTGTTTTCGGAACCCTTCAGCTGGGAATCTCTCCGCCCGACGATTTATCTTTGGGAACGAGTTGGTAACTTGTGGCTGCACTAGCCCCCAGGAAGAGGGTCTCGTCCTGCCAACTGAATACTTGGCCCGTGGAGAAAAGCGCGTGAAATCGCACAAGACCGGCGCGCGGGGGAGCATCAGGGGGCGTGGCAGCAGCGGGAAGGGGGTGCACGGTGTTTTTGCGGACGCTACCGGGGTGGCGCTGGTGTCTCGAGCCTTGGAGGAGGACGCCGGGTAGGTTGTTTCACGACCTCAATCTGTCTGGTTTCTACCCAGTACGAGAAAAATGGTACCTGTACTTCACTTAGGGTGGTTACACGGTTTGTTTGCCATCCTCAATTTTCGGAACGTGTATTGGCTTTATAGTGTTGGGATGTACGGTGAGATGTTGTTGTTTGTATGGGCCTGCGAGGACCTAAGTTCGTTTTGCTTTCCTGCAAGAGTAGGGCGAGTGTAGGAAATGGATAGAGGTCACAACGGATTTCACTTACATGGAGACGACGACAGTAACAACAACAACAACAACAACAACAACAACAACAACCAATGAGGTACATGCACGGTGCGTACACTAGTTATACGCGGGGTCAAGTACATCGGCATACAGCAGAACACTGGTGTCATGCTTCGAACCAAAGATGTAGACGGGAGATATACCGCACACACGAGGAACGAGTTTGCTGGACGTTTAGTTGGGTTTGGTGTCGGTGAATCGGATTATGTCTTGATCGGTTAATCAAGGCACCAAATGAACGATTGAGACGACATCCCAAAACATGTGGTAGTACAAGTATGTATTTGGTCGTTTTCACGAGACCCAGGCACCAAACCGACTACACACCAACTTGACCCACAAACCCTTGAAGAAATCCTTTCTCGTGGTCCGTGCTGTATGCGTGTACGGCGTGCCCCCCCCCCCCCCCGTCCCCTTTGCCTTTCCCCGGCACCGGTCCTTCCTCGCGTGATTCGCAGCGACCTTCATGGCTTTTGGATATGGGTTATCGTCGCCGGGAGCATCGCCGGGCTCATTGTCCTTTGCTGTGTGGGGTGGTACATCAGGAATCCCTTCTTCTGCCAAAAAAGTCCATTGCCTAGTGAGTATCTACTTAAGTACAATGTAGTACAATGTATGGAGTATCCCGTTTCGTTGGATAGATGGATGGATGGAACGACTCTTTGTTGTCGGCCTTGTAGCCACTTGGTTGCGAAGCATTCGAGCGTTGAAAATCGCCTAGACTTGACGCGGTACTGCTGTTGTCGCGTTTACCCCACCCTACGCCTGCTATAGTATGCATGCACAGAAACAGCTTCCATAAGTCAGTGTCTCTCCCGTTAAGTCTCTTCCTCGACCATGTAGAGCGGTGTTTGCCTCGCGTCTGTGCGCGCCCTTCTGTGGATTCTTGGTTTGCTGATTTCATCGCCCCTCCGCTCCGAACGATTCGCCATCGGTGATTGGTCCTACGGGAACAATTCTCCTTCCTCTCGAGGACGCGTGGTCAATGGTCTAACCGCTGAGGCATGCAAAACATAAGAGTACGCCCCCCCCCACTTTTGCTTGTTTACCTGTTGAGCAGACCCAGACGCACCACCGGGAGAGGATGCTGCACCCCAGGCTCCCAAAGCAATATTTCAGCCTTGGGGGGCGTCTGCGCCGCCCAAATAGAGGGGTCAACGGCGGCAAGGATGTAACCCCCTATTCTGCGGCGTAGTTGTAGAAGGGAGGGCTTGATCTTGGAGGCGGGGGTGGAGATTCCAGACCCCCGGTGAGGCCTCGGAGTTGAAACCCCCCGACGGTAGGAGCATGCATGCCTTCGCCGTGTGTGTCGAGACCCTGCCTATTTGTCTGTTTCTTGTCTTTTATCTTTTGGGTATGATAGGGGGTCGTGAGTGCGCGCGCGCTTCCGATCTGAGATAGGTTTACGGGATTGCCGTTTGGAGCGTTCCGCCTGTTTTGGCTGAGCTTGAGGGTTTTGTGTGGGAAGTGTTTCAGCCGTAAGATTTTGATTGCGGAAGTTTTTGTTGTTGTTGTTGTTGTTGTTGTTGTTGCTGGTGGCGGCAGCACCAGCGCATCTGCAGTATCTAACTAGGGCCATAGATGACCAAGATCACTTCGCGACTGACCTCGCGTGGAAGTGTGGGAATATAAGCTAGTTCCTTCGTGCGTGCC